TTTGTTTCTTTTCCCTAGGCTCATCCTTGACCTTGGCAAAATAAACCTCTAAAATGATTGAGGCTTGCCTCAGTCATTTTCTTTGGTTTTACACAGAAATAAATAACAACATTGTGTTTCTATTTTTAGCCTTTCTTTGTGAATATTTGTCAATGACTTCATCAAAATTAATTTTATCCATATATTCATGTTCCATAGCACAGCCAGATTATTCTTACTTGTAGTTGATTAAAGAATACTTATTAATTTTAGTTTTTAAAGGTTCTTTTCACATGAAGCAATGGTTGTACAAACAGAAAGACAAACTCCTAACAATACAACTGGCAAAAATTCATAAAAAGTCACATTTCACAAAAATTCCAGAAATTGTAATAATATTTTGTGACTTGATTCTTTGGTATCAATTCTAGTGCTTTTCAAATGTCTTTGTGACTAAAATTTTCACTAAAATATCTTTATCACAAAATTCATCAAAAATTTCTATTCATTTGATGAAAAACTTCAGAATTTTATTTCTTCCACTAAAATCAGAAATAATAACTGACTATAGTGACTATTGATGCTATTTGATCCATTGTTTATGAGTAACTCAGGTACTGGGTCTTCATGTTTATCATCACTGTGAATTTTTTGTTTATTTCAAATTTGTTTGATGCAAGAAAAAAATTGTTCAAGGATTTTCAACTGAAGGTAAAAATCATTGCTTCTCATATAAATATAAAGACATATTAAAGGTTTTATTAGTTACAGAATGGTAAGATGTTAAAATTTGTTCAAAGAAGAATACAAAAGGCAAACATTGTTCCTCATTTTCCTTTTCCACAAAATTATCTGTAAAATGTACATTTCCTATAAATATGAGAAATGGATCTGTTTCAGCAGGACTCAAATAAGGCCTGAGTCAGGCATCAACTTGGATTTTAGAGGAAACTTACTCATTTGGGTCATATAATTTGGAGAAGCACATTTAGAACCACTAATATGCATAAGAGGGAAAGATTTGATAATCGATTACCAGATGTTAAGTTGTTTAAACAAATTAATATATTTTTATTGTTATTTTCTTCTACTAGCCTTGTACCCGGTGGGTTAAAGAGTAAGGCAAATTCTAGCTAAGCAAGGTTTTTGAAAGGAGAACTTAGAAGAGTTTTGAAGTTCAAATTAAAATTGAAAATAAGCCAGATGCAGTGGCTAATGCCTGTAGTCCCAGCACTTTGGGAGGCCAAGGCAGACAGATTTGTTGAGCTCAGGAATTTGAGACCAGGCTGGGCAACATGGTAAAACTCTGTCTCTAAAAAAAATACAAAAATTAGCTCTGCATGACGGTGCACACCTGTAGTCCCAGCTACGTGGGGGGCTGAGGTGGGAGGATGACTTGAGCCCAGATGTTCAATACTGCAATAAGCCATGTTTGTGCCAATGCACTCCAATCTGGGCAACATATTGAGATCCTGTCTCAAAAAATAAAATAAAATTGAAAATAAACTCAGTGGAAAACATTTTTGTTTTATGCAAAACAGTATCTCTTGAAATAAAAATTTTCTTCCTTGGTCCCAGCATTGTTAGGCTTTATTAAATTTAATTCACGTATATAAATTATTCTCATGATCTCAAATATTATTAATATAATTTTTAAAAGCTTAACAATATTTTAAGATGCCCTCCTATTTGACCTTTTTGGAGATTGTATTCATTCCTCCCACATGTACAGGTATTGATCGACTTACGACCTATGCAATGTATGACCATTCTACTTTACGACCACAATCGCTAGCCACGACTGCTCCGCATCTGGCAGCACAAACGTTGCCCAGCTGGGCGTACGACAGTGCGGACCAGCTTCCGGCAGCACTACCATCTCTGCGTGCACCATTTCAACTGTACATATAGCCTACTCAACTTATGGCCAAATCGTGTTACGACCGGTCTGTTGGAACCAATCGTGGTCGTAAGTCGAGCACTAGCTGTATAGTAATTCCTTTATTTCTCTGCATAATCATTTTGCATATAATCAGATGAACATGTGTCAGGGAGTACTGCCTCTGCCTGTGCAAGGTTTCACGGTTGTAGGAGCAGATTTTTGGAAACCTGTCAGTCAAGGGGAGTTGGAAACCTGGAGTAGCTTGAAGGTATATGGGGTTTACACTGCGCTTCTGCCAAAATCTTTTGCTGATGTAAACTCTTAATTCCTTAAAGATCCAAGAAATATTTTTGACCAAGAAAAGCAAGGTTATTAGATGCACTGTGGTTAGACAGAATACTACCATGACAGACGACTAAGAGTGCCTTGGAATCCGGAAGTCAGAGGTGGATATATACATATACAGAGTTTTAGGACCTGGACTGGCTTTGCAAGGATCAGAGCCAGTTAAGTAAGCTATAATATAGATATTGACTATGAAAACAGTTTTTCATTTCTTATAGGGTATGTAATGTTGGCTTGAGGTTGTTTCTCTATTTTTGTGTTTTGTGTATGCTCTACCTTGTTTAAGAAAGGATTTAATATGACTTGAATTTGAAAGAAAAACTATATGTATATATTGTGAGGGCGATGGATATTGGCCCCCTAAAGATTTGCTGAAAAATTAGTGACATGAGGTGGATTGATTAATAGAAGAAAAGGCTTATAATGATATTTAATGTGTATACACATGAGCCTTCAGAATGAAGCCCAACATGCCAAACGGAGACAGAGGCTTATTTACCATCTTCAGATTACAGGAAGAATGCAGGCTCAGAGAACTGCCAAAAGTAAGTTTTAATGGCAAGACAGGTTATATAGGTTATAGAAGGGAGAAAGGAAGAGGCTTGACTGGCAAGGGTGACCTTGCTATAGAGAAGACTTCTTCAGAGAGGAGAGATGGCAAATGTCTCTTTTTAGACTTTTAAAGGTGTTAGAATCTCAATCTCTCCTACACCTAGCAAATGTCTCGCAAGAGGAGGCCTGGCTGAATTAATGGACATATTCTACAGATGCACATTTTCCTCATAAAAGACATATAGACATAAAAGACACCTCTGCAAGGCCACTTCTGTTATCGACCCTGTGGCAGCCATTTCCAAATATGTCAAAAAATATATTTTAGAGTAAATATTTTTATTTCCTTCTCTCTCTCTCCCTCTCTTTCTATATGTATATGTATATACATATATACACACATATATATATATATTTATATATTAAACAAGATAATATAAAGGAAAATGAAAACAAAATCTGCTACACAAAACAGGTTCAGGCATGACACACAAACCACATATCCCTTATACTTGCCAAGAGTGGAATATACTTTCTGTTCTATGCTTTTAGCAGTCAATTCAAGTAGACAACATTTGTTCAGTTTCAAAATGTATAATAACCAAAACATGAAAGCCCTGATCATGTTTGTAAAGGAGTGGAAGGCATGCAAATAAAGAACCATATGGAATGCAAGGCAAAATTGCTCCACAAGATAAGAGAATTAGAAAGTGATACAGTCGTCAAGTTAAATAGATTACTTCTGCTTTGGTTGCCAGAATGAGTCATTTATTTAAAAAATACTTACTTAACACTCACTATATCTCAGGCAGCTGTCTAAAAATGTTAAGAAAAACAATTAATGCAATCATTAAAACAACACTTTGAGGCGGGTTATATTAATATATATATAGATTTTACAAGAGAAGAAACTTAAGTCACAGGGAAATTTTAAAAATTTGTTAAGTTATACCAGTAAGTGGTTGTAACAATTAGAACCTAACTGGAGAAAAAGAATCACCATGAATGACAGAATAAAGGGCTTTTTTCTAGGGATTAAGCCCCACTTTGTTGCACTAGCTGGTTAAGCAGTATTTCTAAGTTTTTCGCCTGCTTCTAGTGCTGGGACTGAAGTCAGAAGGGCCAGCAGTTATAAGGGAAAATAGATATGAAGTGGGGGAAACATACAAGCTAGAAATTTAGGTCTCTTTTTCACTACCTCCAATTTTGATAGTGTGAGTGACATGTAGGATAGCTGTCATCTTTACCAGGTTGCACTCTTACCTAACCTAGTATTTGAAGAAGCTGAAGAAATAGGTCACAAAAGAGCTGGAGGAGCTGTGGTCCCAGCTGCTGCCTGATATCAGCAAGTTGAGTCAGTAGATGGATGTGTGTGAGCTACCACAACTCCTACCCAACAGTGAAATTCACATATATACAAGATGGGAATGCTGGGAAATGTAGTTCTAATTTAGCTAAGCCGACTCAGGACAAGGCCATATACAGGAAATTTGACTCCTAAATGCACTCTTAATAATTCCACCTCTTCCTTTAAATTGAATCTTGAAGCTTCATTAGGTGACATCCAGATCAAGGTCTGGGGAATAGTCTAGTAAATGAAACCACATGTTCAAAACCAAGATTAATTGCAAATGGGTCAAAGACCTCTTAGGAATCAAATTTTGCTTAAATGTCCGGCAAATAAGGAAGAGTGTAGAAGATAAGAAGAAGCTAATAGAATCTAGATGTTGGTCTCTGTCTTCTAGATAATTACTAGTTTTCATTATTCTAACTATTGCCTTCATTCCTGCTAATAGGTTCCAAACAGATGCTGTAGCCAAATTTGGTGTTATTATTTTCTTATGGCATATTGTATCCAAAGTCCTCCATCTTCAAGAAATTACTGCCAATTCCACTGATTCTAGAGAAGCTACTGATTTTGTTGCAAGTCACCAAAACTTCAGCATTGCAGAATTTATCAGGAACAAAGGTTTTTATCTCAACAATAGCACTTTGTTGGACTGTGATTTTTTTGGAAAGCCATGCAGCCCAAAGGTAATGATTTGCTATTTCTTCAACTACAATCAAAGTAATAAATCCTTTTACTGTACTGTTTCACATTGAGCTCCCACAGCATTTACTCCCATGGTGAATCAATCCAAATTTGCTTAAAGATTCTATTTCACTAGCTCAGCCTTATGATATCGGGGGTATGGAATACACGAGACAAATTTCCTCTTTCAAGCAGTTAGATAAGGAAAGAAAGAAAAGAGAAAGCTTTATTGCATTTCTTATAGCATAGTCCTTCCAAAAGAAAAACAATTTAACACAAAAGGATATTTTAATTTTTTTCATTCATCAACAAACAACCTATTCCAACATAGCATTTTTGTACTCACCAAGTATCCATCACTCTGGTTTTATTCTTTCGGTATTGCATTAGAGGCTACAGAAAACAAGAGGACTCCAGCATTTAACTATGAACATTATATACACTATAATCATATATTATATATAATAACATAATTATATATAATATACATTCACTCATAACAAATACAAATACAAAACAAATACATAACAAATATGAAATCATGTTATTATTGTTTATAAAATTAATCTACATTTAAGATAAAGTACTAGATATATCTGTAATCTATTAATAAGGAAGTATGTAGGCAATTTGATGCCATATTTCTTGTATCAGCAATTCTGTAGCCTGGGTTGTTAGGGGAGTCTAAGTAAACCACAAATTCTTGGTTCTGGGTTACAATTTATCTTTTTGGTAGGCCATCTTAGCACACAGTAAGCAGTAAAGTAATGCCTAAGAGACACTTCACAGAGGTGAGGTTTTGGTCTAAACTGTTAATTTGGAAAATATGCTTTCCTATGCTGTTTTTATTTACCAACATGTTTAACTTACCATCAAGAAATTTCGTGTTAGGGATGACTTTTTCAGTTGCATGTTACAGAATCCCATTTCTGTTACAGTAAGCTGAAGTGTAAAAGAATGAGTCGGCTTAATTAAGTGGGAACTCCAAGAGTAGATCTGGCTTCAGAAAATGCTAAACTAACGGACTCCAAGACCATCTTTAACATTCTGACTTTGTTTCCACCTCATAATTCTGGTTGGCTTCTTTCTGTATGAGTTCTCCCCATACTTCGCCAGAATGGCTGCTGATTCCCCCTAGACTTTCATTATCAGAGTTTAGCACTCCAGTATCCACTTAATAATCTCACTGAAGACTCTGATTAGCTCAACTTGGGACATATATCAATTCTTTTTTTTTTTTTTTTTTTTTTTTTTTGAGACAGAGTTTCGCTCTTGTTACCCAGGCTGGAGTGCAATGGCGCAATCTCGGCTCACCGCAACCTCCGCCTCCTGGGTTCAGGCAATTCTCCTGCCTCAGCCTCCTGAGTAGCTGGGATTACAGGCACGTGCCACCATGCCCAGCTAATTTTTTGTATTTTTAGTAGAGACGGGGTTTCACCATGTTGACCAGGATGGTCTCGATCTGTTGACCTCGTGATCCACCCGCCTCGGCCTCCCAAAGTGCTGGGATTACAGGCGTGAGCCACCGCGCCTGGCCCTATATATCAATTCTTGAACCAACCACTGAGGCAAGATGGTGAGGTTTAAGCTTGGCCCAACTTGTGTCCCATGCATGCCTCTGTAGTGGCTGGAAAAGGAGGGTCAAGGGAACGGAGTTATGTGATTGACTGCTACACTGAGCATGCAGGTTGCAGAAGGCATAGCCCCTCCAAGAAAGGATGCTGAAGTAGTGCTCCACAGGGAAAAACATGTTTCCATACCTCTTCAGGAAAATATAAAACAAGTAATTTTTTAAAATGTTGTGAAATACATGCTTAATTTTATGTGAAAATGTCTCCTTTAAATAATCACATGCAAGCTGACAAATGCGTATTACCAGAAAAAAGAAAACTATCACTGAATATACATATAAATCAGACTATCTCTCTGATATTTCTGCAGTCTTGTTAGATATTTGTACTTTTGAAGAAAAAGTTATAGAAATTAAACTTTAGAAGTGACAAAAATATCAAATTGATGCTTTTTTTTTTTTTTTTGGTTTATTTATATATTGGAGGATTTTGCACATGTCTTCACTGAATATGGAAATTGTTTTACTTTTAATCACGGTGAAACTATCCAAACAAAGAGAAAAGTGAGTGTCTCTGGAAGAGGCTTGCGCTTGCTCTTCAATGTGAATCAGGTACTGAATTTTCTTCAACCTAGCCAGTTTAAAGAAAAACAAGAATGGGTGGTGGTTTCAAAAAATTTGATCAGGCTATTTTGCCATGTCAGATGGCTCCCACACATTGGATATTTTTCAATTTTTGTGAATTTAGTCTAGACTCCTATGGATTTTATATAATTATCGACTTAGAAATTAAACAGGCAAATTTTAAGGCATAAACTGCAGATTTTTAGCTATCCTACTGACTTAAGTTACTGTGACTCCAGGAAATGTTTATGCCACAAAGTAAGGAAACCCAGAGATCCTAAGTTGCAATGTATATAGATATTTTAAGAAAACTCTATGCATTTAACAATAATTTTAGAACTATGTTTATGTAAATATGACAATATGTTTTAGAAAAAAACTCTACATATATATATGACAAACCATAGAATGCATATCTGGAAAAGTGATAGAAAATCTAATTGTTATACAAAGAATATTATACAAATAGACTGTCCTACCCTAGCTTTTGGAAAGCTGTAATTGACCTAATAAGTTCTAAGTGTTTAGCCCTGGGAGGCAGATGTTCAAACATCTAAGTAATGCAGTGGTGTTATCTTCAAGGGTTCCTGGTATAGCTCCCACCCTAGGTTAATTCTGACCTTCTGTCTTGCATAACCACTTCCAGTATTACACATTTATGGCAATCTACTTTACTATCATGGTTTTATAAATGACGATTCTGAAATGCTGATGAATTAAGTATCCAAAAATCATACAATTAATGACAAAAATGAAAAATAAACTTGGTGTACCTGCACTCACCTCCCAATCCAAGTGAATGATGCCATTGGCTACTTTTAAAGAATTTTTGGTAAGGTACTCTTCACAACTTCCTTTTGTATCCCATTCAAGATATTTTTCTTTCTGTCCAAACATAGCACTGCCAACGTTAATGAATATACCTACTCATACTTATAATGTATTTGATTAATACTTTTGACTCATTCACGTATTAGCCATATGGTCAGTTCAAACATTATCAAATTTTTACAAACTAGAATTTTCCAAATATTTTAGAATGCAATGAAAATCTACAAATTCAATGCAATGTCTCATAAGTAAATAACACTGACATATTTCTCCAGACTAGGCAGTTAAGTGTTTCTTAGAGGGTTATAAAAGGGCCAGGAGAAACAGAGTTCTGAATTACAAATATAATATTTATTGTTTATTAAATTTAATTACATATGCAGTTGACCAGTTCACAGATTATATTCTTTATATTCTTAAGCCTGTATCTTCTCCCTATAGCTTAAAATTATAACTAATGACAAAGTTACCAGCAGTTTAGTCTTAAATTTCTTCATCTAAGATTTATTAAAAAGAACATAAGTGTTAAAGAGATAGTGTAAATCTTCACTGTAATGGGAAAATGAATTTGAATTTTACATAAGGTCAGGGGTTTTAATTGCAAAATAAACGGGGTAAAATGATTTTCTAAGCAAATGAGTCAAAGAAAACAGCCAAGAAGGAAGCAAGTATAAGACACCTAGGTGAAGAGAAGGCCAGAGGAAACAAGATAATTAACAGTAATTGTAAATACTTACCTGCACCTATCTAAGATGAAATGTGATCTATGGAAAACTATAGAGGTCTTGAGCTATGATTTGTCAATTGAGAAAAACAATGAGACAGGTCTCAATCATTTTAGGAGGTTTATTTGCCAGAGTTAAGGACGGGTGCCCATGGTACAACCTCAGGAAGTCTTGAGGTAGTCCAAGGTAGTCAGGGCACAGTTGGTTTTATGCATTTTAGGAAGACATGAGATATCAATTAATATATCTAAGAAGTGCATTGGTTCTATCCAGAAAGGTGGGGACAACTTGAGGCAGGGAGGGGGCTTCAAGGTCACATATAAGTGAAAGAAATTTGGTTGCATTTTTTTTTTTTTTGAGTTCCTGATAGGCCTTTTCAAAGGAGGCAGTCAGAATGTGCATCTATCTCAGTGAGCAGAGAAATGACTTTGAATAGAATGGGAGGCAGGTTTGCCCTGAGCAGTTCCCAGTTTGAAGGGGTCCAAGATAATTCCCTTTCACATTCCCTCTTCGCTTTTAAGAAAATCTTTAGGAGAAAGTATTTTAGGAGAACATGAGTCTCTGGTCTTAGGTTTCTTCTGATTTCTCATGGATAGGACGGTTTATTACTAGACGGGTAGGTCCCGCAAGCTGATTTTTGGCAGATTGTGAAGTCTTCCATGTTCTATGAAGAGAAAATAGGAGGAGGAAGGGAGAAAAACAACAAGAAACGAAAGAACAATCCCAGAAAAATTAATAAAGCCTACATTACTTTGAAGTCCATACCTCAGTAAGGCAGGTATGAAAAGTGGCTGATGTATGAAAATAGGTTGCTATTACTTTCTTCTGAAGTTTAAGTTGTCTGGCTTCAGTTTGCAGGGCTTTAAGAAAGCACAGCTTAGATTTTAGTCATCCAAATTAGGAACAATGGGGGAATAAAGAAAGAAAAAATTAGAAACATTATTTTGAAGACTCATAGCCAAGAAAAATTAGAATTTGGTCCAAACTAGAAAATAACAAAAATTGAAAAACACTAGTCAAGACTATAATCTAACAATATATGTACTACACTTTTTGAAACATAATTTTTCTCTCTTCACTTTCCCATTTTTGCCAAATACAAATCATGATAGGACTATTTTGCTTTATTTTACTTCATCAAATTATTTGTATACAGTGCAGGGAGAAGTTATTTTTAACATAGGCTTTTAAATTGCCTTTGGTGGCACCTTGTTCCATAGAAGAAATCTCAGATAAGATTTTTTTAAAGCTGAGCCCAGCTATGGATTTGTGCCATCACATATCTATGATGGATAAATTTCCTCTCCACTTGAGGTTCCAAGGTAAACCTGGAGCTTCTGGGCCTTTCAGAAAGTGATATCCTTTATGTACCCCAGGGCAGAAACCCTGGATGGGGACCCTGTACACAAAATATGAGGTCAGTTTTTCCAAGGAAATTATTGGTTTCATGAGTCAAGTTTGATTCCTTAAAGGAAAGCACACCATTTGAGTCAAAGCATTGGTAAAATAACCAGTTTCTCCAATTGTGTCCTGTTACAAATGAAAACAGATTTTTTTTTTAAGACTGAGTCTCTATTGTCCAGGCTGGAGTTCAGTGACACAATCTTGGCTCACTGCAACCTCCGTCTCCCAGGTTCAAGCAATTCTCCTGCCTCAGCCTCCTGAGTAGCTGGGATTACAGGCATGCACCACCACAGGCGACTAATTTTTGTATTTTTAGTAGAGATGAGGTTTCACCATGTTGATCAGGCTGGTCTATGAACACCTGACCTCCTGATCCGGTCATCTAGGCCTCCCAAAGTACTGGGATTACTGGTGTGAGCCACTGCATCTGGCCATCTGAAAACAGATTTTTATTGCACTTATGCTAATAACTGTATTTTCCATAAATTAAGAATACTCACAAATAGTTTCCAAATTCTGGAGAAATCAGGCAGAGAAATAAAATATGCTCTACGTTTTGTTCATAGAAGTATACTAAATTGTTAAAAGCTATCAGCAGCTCGAGACAAAATAAGACTCTGAAAAACGAAACAAAGGATCAGCAAATATTTTAAGTAAAAAGTCAAAAAGATGAGTTCAGTACATGCAGTTAATTCCTGTTCTGCTTAATACTCATGAACATTTTAGCTCTCAATGAGTCATGAAAGTTTTTCCTCTTTTCTGATGTTACCATCTCTAAAGTTATCAAAGCCTGCATTTAAGAGCACCTGTTATAATTTTATAGCTGATTATAAAACCACCTTCTAAAGAGGACCAAAACATGACAACAATTGTTCATGGATGATAATAAATTTTAGGGAAGCCATAGTCAAAGACACAATTGACAAGGAAATTTGTTACCTTGATGGCACACAATAATTTTAATATAAAGATTATTATTATTAATATATACTGTCATATCAGAATTAAGGCGTTTCCCATAATTCTGAAATACATACAAATAGCATATTTATAAAAATACAGCCCAAAGAAAACCAAACACCATTTCATATTTGATAATGCTTCCTGTATAGTTTTTATATCAAATAAGCCAAATTATGTAATTTTTGGACTTCAGGAAAGCTAATATCTTAAACGATTAATTAGGTTAGAAGACATAATTTATAATTTGATTTCAGAAAGACTGTCAAATATCAAAGGTTTAAAACACTTGATATTATGAAATAGGATTAAGGAACATTATAAAATCATTCATTTAACCAAAGTGGTAACTCAAGGATTTTTTTTTAAAAAAAGGAACACCTTCATTCTTTGAGAGCGGAGACTTAATTTTCCAAATAAGAAGCCCTACTAAAAACAGCATAAAGCCAATTATATTAGTTATTCAAAATTTTGTAAACAATCTATAAAATTTAATCTTTATCATAAATTATAAGTTCCATAAGTCTTTTTATAACCTTTCTGACCTTTAATTAAGGAGTTGGTTAATGCTTCAAGAAAATCTTGTTAATCTGACACAGGAGTCCATATGCTGGTTTTGCATTAGTGTGCCTTTGACATTCATGATTAATTTATAGAGAAACTGAATTTATTTTGTCTCTTAAAATCAGCCATTACAATCTCACATACTCATCTCTTCCTCAATAGTGCCTAGGTCTTGAGGAGTTGAATGGCCTTTAATTTCTAGCCCTATGTCTCAGGAATGCATTTTATTTTTATTTTATTTCTTTTTTTTTTTGAGTTGTATAATTACTTTATTATATGTTACAATGTAATAGTTATAGAAATAAAGTGCACAATAAATGTAATGTACTTGAATCATTCTGAAACCATCCCCTCCCCCTTCACCCCTCCCCTGCCAAACCTGTCCCTGGTACCAAAAAGGTTGGGGACTGCTGTTGAAAATAACAGGATTGCCTTTCTTTCTTTTATTTCATTCATTTATTTTTTTTTATTGAGACGGAGCCTCAGTCTGTCACTCAAGCTGGAATGCAGTGGCATGATCTCAGCTCACTGCAACCTTTGCTGCCCAGGTTCAAGTGATTCTCATGCCTCAGCCTCCCAAGTAGCTGGAACTACAGGCGTATGCCACAACACCAGCTAATTTTTTTGTATTTTTCATAGAGATGGGTTTCCCCATGTTGGCCAGGCTGGTCTCAAACTCCTGACCTTAGGTGATCTGCCCACCTTAGCCTCCCAAAGTCCTGGGATTATAGGCATGAGTTCCCGTGCCTGGCCAGGAATGCATTTCATTTTGATTGGCATCTTCTATGGGGCCTGAAGATAAGGCTTTAATTGCTGTCAGTGTTTAAGATTTAGTAGGACTTGGTGTCCTTTTTAGATCCAGGAGTCAAAGCCCTGTAACTTAATGTCACAAAGACTTTAAAAGCACATACAGAAAGATACATGAATGTAATAACCTTAATTTTAAAACAAACGTTTTTTATCTGTTTTTTTCCTAAGCAAACCAAAACTTAATAACAATATGACAACTTTATCATATTAAAGTTTTTTTTTTTTTTTTGAGACGGAGTTTTGCTCTCGTTACCCAGGCTGGAGTGCAATGGTGTGTTCTCGCCTTACCGCAGCCTCAGCCTCCTGAGCTCAGGCAATTCTCCTGCCGCAACCTCCTGAGTAGCTGGGATTACAGGCACGTGCCACCATGCCCAGCTAATTTTTGTATTTTTAGTAGAGACGGGGTTTCACCATGTTGACTAGGATGGTCTCGATCTCTTGATCTCGTGATCCACCCGCCTCAGCCTCCCAAAGTGCTGGAATTACAGGCGTGAGCCACCACGCCCGGCCCTCATATTAAAGTTTTTTTAAAATAAATTCTTATTGTGACTTACACTGATTATTCATGACATGCTTTGGACTCTCTGGTTTGTCCTGAACATATTCTCTTTCTTTTGTTTTGTTTTCTTTTCTTTTTTCTGGAGACAGAGTCTCGCTCTGTCACCCAGGCAGGAGCACAATGGTGTGATCTCAGTTCACTGCAACCTCTGCCTCCTGGGTTTGAACCATTCTCCTAGCTCAGCCTCCCAAGTAGTTGGGATTACAGGTGCCATCACCACAGCAAACTAATTTTTGTATTTTTAGTAGAGATGGAATGTTGCCATGTTGGTCAGGCTGGTCTCAAACTCCTGACCTCAGGTGATCTG